GTGGGTAGAAAAAGTCCTGAAAAGTGGTGGTGAATCTACATTTTTCTGGTACCTGCTGTGATTCCTCTTGCCCTACTTTCGAACAAAGTCCCTATCTGCTGAGAACTCCCTATCTACCGAAGTTCTAATACCGCTTTCCATATGAAATTGAATTTTCATAGACATTCAATAGGGCCCACGGTTCCAAACGGATACGATCTTTTGAAATCAGTGAAAATTCGGTGAAAGCCGTTTGATTACGCTTCTTGCCCACAAAGTAAACGTGGGAGGGCAGCGAATGTCCGAGTTTTTCTGACACCTCAGACAAGTTTGGTGACAACTCATCGACTTTGAAGGAACGAAAGGCCTAATGTGGTGGGGGGCGGGCCTGTTGTGGTCACGAATGTGTCAGTCAACATTTCGACCTCATGCCCTACCTACGTCCTTCATTCATTTGCCCGACTACATTATATATTAATTTGACGTCGAACAAGGAAACTTAGGGTGAATTATAGCCTATTTAAAATGGAACCTGTGAAAAATAGCCACTACAATGTTTGGAAGTACTACTCGAATGTATACGTAAGCATTAAAGACATTTTTTAGTAGATATCCTTTGAAATTCTAGATTTTTCGATTTTTCAAAAACAGTTTTCTTCCGCTACCCAACAATAGCCCGATTGAATAGCTCGGGTAACGTACTCTCAAGAGGCTATGGAGTGACAGGAGCCGTCACACCAAGGTCATCGTGTCCCCCTCTGTCCCCCTCTAGTATCCACTACCTCACACTGTGATCGCCGTTAAAATGGTGTATTGATCGCAATGGCCCTGACGCAGTTCATAGTCGACTGGACATTTGTTTTGGAGTTGCCAGTTTTCGTTCCAGAAACTGCCCATTACATCTTTTTCCTTAAAACCCTGTTCATATGACTCTTTTGGGTAATTTAGCCCTTGATCTGGTAAGGCATGTAGATAAACGTGAGGCGGGCAGCAATTGAGCTCTACCCACTTGGGCTCTTTCTTACACCTTCATCTTTGATCCCTGAGCGGTATCCAGGGCTTAAGACAACAACAATAAAGATGTGTTAATCATTCATTGCCGTCGTGCTCCTGCTAATTCCTCATTTATTTCTTTCTTTTCACCAAAGAACTAGGCCACAAAATCGATTACTCACATAACCTCAAGTTACCGCCAGTAATTTAGGTTGTTTATGACAATGCCCCCTTGTGTCGGGTTATTGCGTGCATAGGCAATTTTGTCGTTTTCAATGTCTTTCCTTTCGGGAAACGCAGACTCAAATTGTTTGTTACGGCTTCGACTTGGTTTGTTGTTATTTTGGCACCTCCCGTTCTGCAGAGGAGACACCCTGCAAGGGTTGATTTTCCATAACTTTCATTTTATTTTCGATCTGGCATCAAAACTATTCTACAACAGAGATTATTTCGGTGAAAATGTAGTTGGGGGGGGGGGGGGGGGNGTCCCAGACACTGGCTGCAGAGTACATACAGATCGCAGAGATGGATTCCTCCCCTTCTAAAGGTTAGGGAAGGAGCTCCAGGGTGGGAGAGATGATTATCTCGTGCAAAAAGCTGGGATGGGGTAAGAATTGAACATTCAATTGGTTCACACACCCCGGAGCTCCTTCCCTAACTTTTAGAAGGGGAGCAGCTCCGCGATGGGTGAGATGATTAGATGGGGTAAGAAGTGAAGTGACGCAGAGCACAAAAGTGCCTGGCACCCCCAACTACATTTTCACCAATATTTCTTTATTTTTCTCTTTTTTTTTTTGATCAAAATGAGGTAATTCCATGTCGTACTGACCATGAGTCAAATGAATGTTTAAGAAGCTAGATTGAGATTTCAAGGCTGATTTCAGAATTTTTTCTTTACTCTCCTCTTTACTTTACGTTTTTGAGGCCCTTTCTATGATCTAGTAGCCTTTATTTATTATTTGTCTGAAATTAGTTTGCATATTGATCGATTTATTGATTAGCTAGTGTGCTATCAATTCTTATCGTCGAGTCTATGATTGCCCATGGGATCATTCTTCCTTTCAATCGATATGTATGGAGTCATTGAAAAGCTACTTCATGTGAAACGTACTTAATGGTCGTTCGAACAGCTGTGTGCACGTGTTGATCTTCTGGCTTTTATGATTTTTCTTTTTTGATCCGATTTTTGCGATCTGCGACGAATCTAATGACTCACGTTTCATTGTTAGCTGTTAGCATTCACAGCTTGATTGATACTGATTTTTCTGAAAGTGCTCTATCTCAATTATTCGTAGATTTTCTATTCGCTTCTGTTCTTTTGGAAATAATCCTTTCACAGTGAAAAGGTATTGTTCAGCTTTCACTTGGGTAGCAAGAAAAGTCTTCAACTCATTATATATGAAAGCTTTATAATTTACAGGAGAGCATTTGAAATTGGACCATTAGCTGGCTAAAAGCTGAAATTTCGAACACGACGTTTTTCCTGAATGTCTAGTAATTCTTATTTGTTAATTAATCCCATCGGGATTTATCAAACATATGAGCCCTAAATGTCATTAGTCAGGCTGATAGCTAGATGCTTAGGTCCTTATCGGTCGGAAAATGGTCACAGGGCGTGTCGGTCGTAACCTACATAGTCTGAGGATCAGTCGTTAATGAAAGATAGTAGGGCTTCGATGTCGCTTTGAAATTCGTATAGACTTTAGCTACTATGTTCAGAGAGATTAGTCTCCTCAACCGCTGGTGATTTTTGTCTATGCTACTCTTTTTCAGTAATTCATATTTCCTTGACCCTTTAATGAGATTATTCATTTATTTCCTATTCTCTTCCTTAATTTCTTGATTTTTTTCTCTTATTTTTTGTTTATATTCAGTTCTTATTATTATATTCTACAATCTGAATTAGGATCCACCAAAAGCAAATAAATAAGAAAAATTACATTTTTATACTGAAAATTACTTAAATATTCAACACGATACCTCTCAAATAAAGTATAAATTTTGTTAGTCTAGCCGAATACTTCAGAACAAACATTACACGAACAATTTTCTTGTTTCCCAGGTCCTTTTTCTCTGAAGTTTAAGCCCGTAAATCCACTCTTATCCACATTTCTGATTTAATGTTTTTCACCGAGTCATATGATATTTATGGGTTACAGTGCATTTCAATATTTTATATGTATATAATGATTTATATTGCCTCTTTGGTTATAAATGATCAGACACACTTTATTGCACTTTGGGAGCCACAATTATGTTCCATACATTTTTATTTATTACTTACATAACGAATTTTTTTCTTGACACATCTGAAGGTGTATAATGATATATCTAATACCTAAAATCATTAGGTATCCAGGGCCGCTATATTTTCAGGAGGGGATACCCGAAAAGCCCGAGCTTTTGCACCTCTTCGTATGCACAAGTTTTTGATTGACAGTTATTTTCCATATATGAATACGGAGGTGGCGAAATGATAAGTGACACACTATCACACATCGTAGTCCTGGGATCGAATCCCAGTTCATCATTCGTCTAGCCTACCAGGCTTTTTCATCCTTTCGAGCACCCCAAGTCACGTATTTGCCACATAAAAACTCAAACCGCTTCATAATTCTGAATGAAAATCGAATACGAGGCGCTTTCTGAACCGGAATTGATCAAGGGTAGTGGGGTCTATTCCTCTGGATATGGATACAAACAGATAATTTAGCGGAGGCTATTTTATGGTTGAACTTTTCATAAGTACAACTTTTTTAATGCATCAGTAAACATGGAATGTGTTTGAGTATGTATGAAGTATGTTTTCAATGAATTGTAAGGTCAACTGATGTTCTCAACAAAATTCTTCGTCTTCTTAAACATTTCTTGTAAACAGCATTTAGTCTCAATGCACTTCGCTTCCTTGTACTGGGTCCAACCTTATCAGCGGGACTGAGTGGAGCTCTCTTTGGCAGTTCGATCCATGATAGACTCACAATGGCCTTCCTACCAGGTGGCCGCCATATCGTTATTTTATTGATCTAAGGGCATGCGAAAACACAAATGAACAAACAAATAATCATAAAATAGGAGTAACGGAATGCACCATCCAGCGTCCCAATACCTAATTATATCAGCTAGCTATTCGGAAAACAGCTATCCATCGATTGACTGGACCTTCAGGTTATTTATGGCCATGGAATGGAATTGAAAGAACAATTTATTTATGGAAGTGTCTCCAAAACTTTCGTTTTGGAAGTATTTGTTTATTTATTTTCTTGTTTATTTGTTTATTCATGCACACTGACTTCCATAATGTCTAGTCTTCCTTAATGAATCAGTGAAGATCAGTGAAGTGAATCTACTTATGATTAGTGGACCTCTACTGGTACCAATAGACTCTGAAAGTTTTTTTCAGAACCTAACTTTTAATTTTTGAAGCCAGCATATCTTTGCCTGCTAGTGTTTAAATAATTTTTGATTTATTAGTTAGATATGCTTTTTTTATTCATTTCATGGTACTTACGGAACATCTGGACTCCAGTGGGCTCGTCTTTTGGCCTCCTTTAGCCACTTCGCGGTGGTTCCTGTTTGGCGCAGTGTCCAAAGGCCCTTTTTTCCAAGACGTACAGTGCCTTATTCAAGTCCGCATCGGAACGACTCTAATGCGACATTGTCATAGAAGTGGTTGATCAGAACTTGTTCTAATAGGAGCAAGTAGCATCAGTCGATGGCAGTCACTGTTACTACTAACCATTCACTGATGAATTTCCTATGCAAATCCTGTTACGTGGCGCATTTTTAAAGAATTCAGGACCTTTTAACTCACCGCTTTCGGCTCCGCCCCATATTTTCGTTTGATCAGCAGTAATCGCTCCTTTTCTCCTTTTTTGCTTGTTTCTGTTACTGTTTACGGCTTTCTAGTAGGAATTTCCGTTTTTCTAGAGAAATTTCGTCTGATCGCGTGAATTACCGATCCGGTCGCTTTTTGAAAGAAAATTCCTTTCAGTTTAGTATAATAAATGCCAGGAACGAAAAAGGGCATTATGACGGAACCGAAAGTCGTTCATAATCATCACGTAAAGTTCGGTGACGATGTAAAACCAGACGAGGATGAGAAAGACGAGCATTCACGGCCTCCATCACCAGCACCCGATCCATCGGAGGTAACTTAACAGAATTACATAAAATTTGCGATACTTACTAGCTGGTGACAACATTGAGTCCGCAGTTATGTTCATTTGTTGCTATCCAGTTTCCCCTTTTCATTCGTTGTACTTTGATCCTGGATGGAGTTAGATTTCGTTGGCTGGACGAGTTCCATTGAAATTTCTCTAGACCACCAGTTGAGTAGAGCCCCCAGCACTGTGGCCCTCTTCGCAGTTGTTTTTCCATGAGCTTCACCAGTGACCTGATCATAACCCATTTTTCGTATGATACTTATGATCGCTGCATTGTTTTTGAAAATGACTTACAATTGAGAATGTTCCTATGGCGGTGCTTCCGCTCCTCTTGACTACCCTCTTATATCCCTAAGTTCTTGATATCCTAAAGTTGATAAATTTTGTTTTGGTTTATTAGCCGACCCTAGAGCAGCGGAAAACTTGGTTGGCATGGCCTTTAGTCCGGGACTCGAAGCTAGGGCCATATATGCGATAGTGGCATACCGATTCCATCTGTGAATTGCTTTTTTCCTGCGCTGAAATGAATCCACCCGAGACAATCCAAGTAACAAAAGGCAGTCCCGTTTTGAACTCCAATCTCTTTTCTCCATTTCTCCCTGTATCATATATTATTCACTACGAAATTCTATTCCAATGATCTTCAAGCTGCTCGTTTCCAGGTAACTGCACCGCCCCCTGCGATACCGTGTGCCATTAAGGACGAAGTTGAACTGCTACGGGCAGGTCTTCGTAACAAACATGGTGACCATGTGAAACAACATCATAAATAGGCTTCAAGTCGTTCCTTCATTCCTGGCCAATTTCTTTACGCCTCCGCATGAACCATT